CCCCAAAACCCCAAAACCCCAAAACCCCAAAACCCCATGTTTTGTTCATCGATTGCTAATAAAATGATACTGTAATAGATCCTTGTGAATACGTAATTATAATATTAATATTAATAGAGAATTTTGATCTAGTTAGATAATACGTAATATATGGGAAACCAAAACACTATTCAATACGCCAGACTTATCGAGGGCACAGAGAAACCAGGACACACAGCTGAGCTTGTGTATGAATTAAACTCTTCTTTATACCAATTTGATATAGTTCAGTTGACGTTCAAGACCCAACAAAACTTGTTGAGAGACCAGCAGATGATGTGACAACCTTGCTAGAAGCATTCAAGAGATCTGCCAAGAGGGCACCCGACACTAACTACCTCGGAACAAGAGACGAAAAGGCAGAAGGTAGACCTTACAAATGGAGAACATGGAGTGAGATTGACGAAATCACTACTAGCTATGCACTAGGTAAGTTGAGTTATAATTCAGTCCAACAGAAATAAAATCGGGAGTTTAATAGGCTGATTTTATTTCCTGATCTGATAGTGTAAAAATCATGATGGAATTTTGTTCCAATTTTGATATTTATTTCACCAGAATTACTCTAATTATGCATCATTCTGACTAATAATGAATATAGCTGTGAAGGACTTAGGAATGGTTCCAGAGATTCACGAAGAAAACCAAACTTGGAAATTTATGGGCATCTATGCCAAGAATAGAGAAGAATGGGCAATCACAAACATTTCTAACTTCAAGAATTCAGTAGTCACTGTTGCTTTCTACGACACCTTAGGACCTCAAGCAGTTGAGTTTGTTCTCAGACAAACCACTCTCACCTCAGTTTCAAGTGCGGGCCAATATGTTGCTGGACTCATTAAGCTTAAGAAAGATGGTAAAGCTAACTCACTCCAAAACATCGTTTCTTTTGATGAAGTTAGTCAAGATATCATAAACTAGGGAGAACAAGTAGGCATCAAAGTTCACAAGTTTTGGGATGTTGTAGAGCATGGCAGAAATGCCAAGAATAGACTTAGTGAAGACTAACTTGAAAAGCCAAAGCCAGAGAGTGTGTACATGTTCTCTTACACTTCAGGTACCACTGGTGATCCTAAGGCTGTTGTCTCAAGGCACAGTAACTATTTGTCAGCTGCAACTGCTGCTAGTGAAGGTGTGAAAGAATTTAACTAGGATGCAATCTTCATTTCTTATCTTCCACTTGCTCACTCACTCGAGTAAGCTCTCTTCTCAGTGGCCCTTATCTAGACTTGCAGAATCGGCTATTACTCTGGTGATCCTCTCAAGCTTCTTGATGATATGCAAACTCTTAAGCCAACTCTCTTCCCATCTGTCCCTAGACTCTACTCTAAGATTTACGACAGAATCATGGCAGGAGTGAAGGAGAAGTCAGCAGCTCAACAATGGATCTTCAACAGAGCTGTACAATCAAAGCTCCACTATCTCTAGCAAGATGGTTCACTTACTCATAAATTCTATGATACTGTTGTATTCAAGAAGCTCAGAGATTTACTTGGAGGTAATGTGAATCTGATGGTTACCGGTAGCGCTCCAATCGCAGCTGAGGTTCTTAACACCCTCAAGGTTATATTCTGTGCTCCTATTAGAGAAGGTTACGGACAAACAGAAACTTCTGCACCAGCTACACTTACCCACCCATACGACCCAGTTTCTGGTCACGTTGGTGGCCCCATTCCCAGTGTTAAAATTAGACTAAGAGACATCCCAGAAATGGAGTATCTCTCTACCGACTAACCATTCCCAAGAGGTGAGGTCTGCTTTAAGGGACCAAGTATCTTTACAGGTTACTTCAAGGCTGATGATAAGACTAGTGAAGCTTTTGATGCTGATGGATGGCTCAGAAGTGGAGATGTTGGACTCCTTTACCCTAATGGTTCTATTAAAATCATTGATAGAGCAAAGAACATCTTCAAGCTATCTCAAGGAGAGTACATTGCTCCAGAAAAACTTGAGAATGTCTATATTTAGAGCCCATTCATTGCATAAATCTTTGTCTATGGTGATTCACTCTAAGCCTATCTTGTTGCAATTATTGTTGTTGAGCCCTCTACTCTTAAGAAATGGGCAGCTGAGAACAGTTTAGATACTGAAAACCTAAAGCAACACTTGACCAATGACGCTCTAACCAAGGCTATCCTTGCTGATATGAACAAACTCGCAGTTGAAAACAAATTCAACTCCCTTGAGAAGATTAAATTTATCCATTTGACTCTGGAATAGATGACTCAAGAGAATGACTTGCTTACCCCAACAATGAAAATCAAGAGAAACATTGCTAAAAAGGTCTATGATAAAGAAATAACTGAGCTCTACTCAAGACCCCTCTGAGTCAACTCCGACTGAGTTCTCATTAGAAGAAGTGAAATGAACATAAAGGAGTGATTGATTTTAGATTTATTATCAACTTCTTAAGACATTAATTATCTATTCGAATTTCCCTAACTATAATATAAGCTGGATTATTAACTTTTCCCAGATAATTAGCACTAAATTTGAATTTGAGAGTTATTAGTAGTTCTGATAAAATATATAAGTACTTAATTAGATCAGACATTCAACTTTTAAAGTTACATGCAATCAGGATTAAATGAAGATAGATATAAAATGATTGATTTAAACATATTATCATAAAGTTATACAATAGAATCTAAGAATAAATCTTAAATGCGTCATCCAGGCACAATTGCGCACACATACACATACTTTCTGTCATTACTTGCCTTGCAAAGAGGCTTAGCACTCTTGATCAATAAGATTCATTGAGGAGCACAATATATTATATGATCTTATTGACTTATTTAGGAGTACTTCATCAATTTAACAGAGGACAAAGAAACGAAGGAAGATGTGATGGTGGTGTGATGGATTGGCACTCTAAGATAAACTCTGAGACCCTAATTCTTTAAAGTTGATATCATACCGATACTACCCTACAATCCTCACAATCTTTAATATTGTGGTTGCAGGAGTTCAATATCACCGACTTTTATTCAACTATCAATATCCATATCCTCCTCTTCCTCTCTTTAGTGATATCTCTCCTGTCTCAAATTTCCGACATTTGAGCTGCTGCCCATTTTTTATACTTAGAATAGCTGCTATGGGATATTTCCACCGAATTTTTACACGTTATGTAGAGGATTATCAGCTACTAATCCATTTTATTAGTATTGCTTATCTACTGAAGTATTTCTGACTGTGAAAGAAACTACTGTTCTTCCAACTTAAACAGCTGAAGTGTACTCAAGATTTAGAGGATAAGATTCTTTCAGGAGGACCAATGTACCAAATTTGGATTTATTGTCCTCTATGTAGAATCCTTCAGGTTTATACTTTATTATGGCATGGCATCTTGATACTGAGATATCATTTACTCTGACCTCACTATCGTGGCCTCTTCCCATGTTGAATTGCTCTTTCTGAGATGAGAAGCCAAGTATATGGATAGTTCTTGAGGTGTTCTTTTCTAAGGGTAGTGACTCCATAACCATGAAGTAACCTGAATTTTTCGGCTGCTGAATGTCTATAAGCTTATAGACCTTTCTGCCAACTTTGAAGAGATAAGGGTAGGCTTGCTTGCAGATCTCACACTCAAAAGTCTTCCAGTACATTGAAACCAAATGCTCAGATTCTTTTTTATTCATCTTTGTGTTGAGCCAGTTCTTTAGGCATTCAAAGTGAATAAATCCAACTGTTCCAGCACATCTGCATGGGACTATGCAGGGGTTCTCTGGGGTTGAGTCAGATCCCCAGCAGAAACGGCAACTGCCTTTCTGAGACTCATCACCGGTTTAGTTATCCTCGAGAGTAATTACTGGCTTGGCCTCCTTAAGTTCTTGTTGATAGAGTTCCTCGGGTGTCTGACCCATTTTCTCGCATTAAAAGTCCTTAATTCTGAACTTTACTCTACCTAGCTTTATCACATCAAACTTTTTGATCAAGTAATCCTATCATGTTATTAGGTTATGATTAATTTACCTCTTTTCCCTCTGGAGACTTCAAGGATCTGACTACGAGCCAGAGGCGGTCGACAGAGTCCTCTTCGAGCATATCTGCTTTTTCAGCATGGTCTAAGTAATACCCGGCTACATAAATTTATTAGATTATTTTGCCAAATTTTAAGTGAAAATGAGCGATCAGGAAGTTGCCTAATAATCTCTTAAAGTCCGCAGTGGCAACTCTTTTACACTCTGATAAATATCCTTTTAAACTTACTTTGCTCTTTCCTGATCTGAAGTAAATCCTAAGCATTTGCTCCGAGTTCAGAGACATTTCTGTTCTGAGGGACAAGTTCTATTTCGTTTTCAAGTCTGACTATTTTCGACTCAACGATTGTCTTGCAACTCTTTTTAGTTATGCTCTTTGACTCATAGTCGAAGAGTCCGTGAGAGTCGCGGATCCATGTCACACCTCGTAAAAACACACTACACATCGCGATTAATTTAATAAAAGATTATAAACTTTAATGCAGGTAGCTTATATCATGAGGGAAAATAATAAAGCGACCACAGAAATTATTAGAAGCACCAACTGTTGAAATGTGTGCTCTATTTTCAACTTTATTCCCTCTCAAGTTATTGAAATACTTACACCAGATTTTGATTGCTTTGCTTTGAGGAGTTGTCGGTTTGTTAAGGTTAAGCGAGAGGATTCTGGCTGTATGGTACGGGGAGTTGTGGGGGCATATTAGTTTTTCTGGACATCGTTCTTAGGTTTTATTGAAGTTGTTGTTAATATTGGTCTTACTAGTCTTTATTATATTCCATTTTTAATTATATCAGCTCTACTTATATGCTTGCAATCAGAAACCTAAGAATAAATTCCTATTAAATTTAATCTCACAAATAATTTTAACAATAACGAACCACTCTATTCTTACTTGCGGGGTTTTGGGGTTTTGGGGTTTTGGGG